CAGCGGGATCTGGATACCCATGATGGCTCCCACATGTTCCACGATGATCTCATCGGATGAACCACGATGTCAAGGACTTAATCAATCTCGTATACAATTCCCTTTGTCTATCGGTATGTTACTTGCCCGAGATTCGATCGTCGGCATCCAATACCTAGTTCAATCTCGTTACCGGCAAGTCTCTTTACTCGTTCCATAACACATCATCCTGTGATCAACTCCTTGGTCACATTACGCATATGATGATGTCCTACCGAGTGGGCCCAGAGATACCTCTCCGCTTACACGGAGTGACAAATCCCAGTCTCGATTCGTGCCAACCCAACATACACTTTCAGAGATACCTGTAATGCACCTTTATAGTCACCCAGTTACGTTGTGACGTTTGATACACCCAAAGCACTCCTACGGTATCCGGGAGTTGCACAATCTCATGGTCTAAGGAAATGATACTTGACATTAGAAAAGCTTTAGCATACGAACTATACGATCTTTGTGCTAGGCTTAGGATTGGGTCTTGTCCATCACATCATTCTCCTAATGATGTGATCACGTTATCAATGACATCCAATGTCCATGGTTAGGAAACCGTAACCATCTATTGATCAACGAGCTAGTCAACTAGAGGCTTACTAGGGACATATTATGGTCTATGTATTCACACGTGTATTACGATTTCCGGATAATACAGTTATAGCATGAATAAAGACAATTATCATGAACAAGGAAATATAATAATAACTAATTTATTATTGCCTCTAGGGCATATTTCCAACACAACCGGGACAAGTCTCGAAGTGTAAGCTTTGGAGCATAATTTGAAAGGCACGTTAATAAGGGTGATGGGGCGGTATTGCTTGATCGAGTCCGCCCCCTTGACTTTAGGGATGAGGCTAATGACACCAAAATTGAGGCGAGAGATGTCTATTGTGCCTAGCGCAAACCCATTGATAGTATCATAGAAAATGTCCTTGAGCGCCGGCCAAAACCGTCGGAAGAAAGACACCGGCCAGCCGTCCGGCCCTGGCGCGGTATCGGTCTTCATCGAGCCAAGCGCCTCATCGATCTCCCCCGTGGTGAAGGATAGGGCCAGGCCATCGTTCTCGGCTTGCGACACACAAGATTCTTCCCCCCAGAAGTCTGCACGGAGGCGCAGTGGCTTTTCTTCCGCTGTTCCCAACAGGTTAAGGAAGAAGTCGTAGATGTGCTGCGAGATTTCGGCATGGCTGAGTAGTAGCCCCTGGTCCGATTGCAATCTCAGAATCGAACATTTCCTCTTGCGGCCGTTGGCGAAGGCATGGAAATAGCCCGTGTTAGCATCCCCTTTGGTAATCCACTTGACGCCACCCCTCCGGCGCCAATATTCCTCCTCTTCCCTGAGGATGGCAAGCACTTGATTTTCAAGGGCGTAACGGTTAGCCCACTCCGCTTCCGAGAAGGAACGCGAGTCGGCCTGGGCGTCAAGTGCCTTGATTTCCTTGACAAGAGCTTCCCTAGCTCGTTTAGCATCACTGCCATGGTTTGCCCCCCACCCTCGCAGGAAACCACGCAGGGACCCGGCCGCATTCACCCAAATGTCCAGAGGACCTCTCGAGCGCCCAGCCGCAGCTCTAGCTTGTTCCCAACGCGCAAGGAGCATAGGAATGAAACCCTCTACCTCGAACCACCCTGTTTCGAAGTAGAAGCGTGAGCTACGCTTGACCCTGTCCTCCCCAGAGGCCAGGATCAGAGGAACATGATCTGAACCAATGCGTGTTTCAGCAACCAGCGTGCACATGGGAAAGATCATCTCCCAATCAGACGTAGAGAAAACACGGTCCAGGACGCTCCGAACCGGGTTGAGTTGTTTGTTAGTCCACGTGTATCTAGCCCCTGTCCTAGCAATTTCCCGAAGAGCGCAAGCCGCAATGGCATTGTTAAAAAGGGAAACCCTAGGCCAGTCGATGTTGCGGTTATTCTTGTCCGCAACTGATCGGATAAGGTTAAAATCGCCCCCAAGGACAATGGGGATGTTAGCGGCTTGCTTGGCCCCGACCAAGACTTGGATTTCACCTAAGAAATCAGCCGCGCGAGAGTGATCGGCCGGCCCGTAAACACAAACGATCGCCCAGGAGGCGAGAGAGACTCTATGTTTAATGGTGACTGAAATGAAGAACGCACCCACATCCCAGGTTACAACATCACAAACATCAGAATTACAACACAGAAGAAGACCGCCCGAATGGCCTGCTGAAGGGACCCAGCCCCACACGAAGCGGTGGAGAGGATCATAGGCCGCCAGATCGCGGTACGAAAAATCCGCTTTGATCGTTCTTGAAGAGCGACAACGTCAATCCTCTCGCACGCGATATACTCCCTAAGTTGCGTGCGACGACCTGAATGCCCGCAACCTCTAATATTCCAAAAGATGTAGCGCATCAAATGATACGGTTGCGAAGACGAACCCCTCTGGAGGTCACCGGTTTTGCCACTCGCTTCTTAGCCTGGGCGCGGCTAGTCGACGGAGGTGTAGCAACCTCCCTGGTTGCGGCAGCCCCCTCAGACAGGACTAGCGTGGCAGGGTTACCCGAAGCCTCTGGGTTAGCAGAGACCGCCAACGCCGTGGATTCGGCCTCCCTGGCCTTGGCCGCAGCAGCGGCCTCTGCCAAAGCCGCTTGAGCCTCCTCGCGAGCACGTATAAGGGACACAAGCTCGCCACGAACCGGACCTAAATCGAAACCGCTGTCGTCTAGGATAGAAACTAGTTGCGGATCAGAAAACGCGTTCAGAATCTTAAAGGAGGGGGGTGGGTTACCTGAAATCTCCAAGTTCTTGTCCGCCAGGCGTAGCTGAGCACTCTCCAAGGAAGACAATTCACCCAGCGCCGCCTTGGCCCGGGCACTGGGAGCCCGCTGGGGGCCCGGGGATGCCCGAGAGCGCCGTGCCTTGGATGCCGCGCCCGCGGAGCCCAGAGCAGCCTGAAGGTCCACGCACGCCGGCGCCACCGGCGAAGGAAGCGCCAAGGCGGCTTGCTTGACAGGAGGCTTCCGTCCAGCCGTCTTCTTGGGGGCGCGCCCAGAGCCCCCCGCACTGCGGCGGCTCGACACCGGGGTGCGGATGGAGTGTTCGTTGAACACCACGCCCGAGTCCGAGCCGAGCAGACTGGGGGAGGCTGGAGATGCCGCCGAGCCCACCTTATTGAAAGCCCCCACCAGTGCGCGGGACGGGGGCGGGCTGCTCCCAGCAGTATCCGAGATCGCCAGCGCCCCGGGCTCCGCGTTCTCCTTCCCCTCGTCGAGCGCGAGTTCTTTGATACCCAATTGGTTCCAGGTCTCCGTGTCAATTGACGTGTCCGGCATTGTATCCTCAGGTTCATCTTTGCGACCAGCCATGTCCACATCCATAGCGCGGTCCCCGTTCCCAGAGATGTGCCCGCCCTGGGTCCCTGGATCTTTGCAGGCAACGATCTAATTAATCTTTCACGCATTTGCAATTAATGTAAGACGCAGATAAGATGCATCCATCTCCATCACTTACCAGCCAAGTTCAGAAAAGATAGTACAGAAGAGCAGTGCAATGTGTAGCGCTACGACAAAATCTGCAATTCCCTTATTCTTCTTTTGTCAAGTTGCAGAGAACAGAGCTTCTCCCCTAGATAGCTGCTTCATAACATATTTGGGAGTCTCCATCGTGGCCGCCCTTTGCCGAAGTTCAGAACTCCTGCCGGGGTTGTGCTTCCTTTTTTTCTTTTGAAAAGAAGGATAACCCCCGGCCTCTGGATCAATCGACGCATGCAGCCATATTATTAAATAAAAATGTAACCCGGGGCTGTGCTCCTAGAGCTCAGCAATAGCAACCTTCGCCGAACTGCACACACTCGTGCCCTGTTTATTATGCAGCTGTGTCGGTTCGGCATCATCTACGTGCGTCCAGACGTCTACGTTTCCCTTCACCAGGTCACACACGGACAAACAGATTTGGCTATACAGGTTACGCAATTTCAGTGTGGCAAACCGTCAGATCCAATTCAATTCAAAGAACAAGATCATGCATGCCTAAACGAAAACCGTTGGTCACATTCAAAGAAGGAAACCGTGTCACACAGGTACAAAGAATGGAATCCATTGCCCACATCCAAAGAATGAAACCGTGCCACGCTGGTTCAGTACAGTGAAGGTCTCTGGCTCTAGTTCAGGGAAGGAAAAAAGCACGGAATTCGACACATTGCCGAAGAAAAACAGGACATTTCCTTCCAACGCCCGCTACAACATCCAGGTACTTGCACTTCCTCAACTTAGTATGTATCGCGCGCCCTTTGCCCGTCGAAGTGAACTGCGCCATGACTCGTCAGCATTAGAGGCTGCCACCATTTTGTCAAACATATAACATGAATTAGGGAACAAACCGTAGTAATTAACAACTAGTTACGACAAGCACACAAGAGACCAAGGCATCCAATGCAAGAACAAGAGGAGTGCAAAGCATATAGCCATCTACGACAAACCCATTACAAGATATGAATTTAACACCTACAAATAAGTCAGAACCATTACAAATTATGAATGTAACACTACTGAGTGTGTACTTGCACATACACGTAGATACACGTGGAGCCAAAAACAGGTTGACATACTGGTGTTATCAACTCTTAGAACATAAGCAACAGTATAAGTTTCCAATGCATGCTACTTTAAAGATGGAACACACATAAGCAACTTAGAGCAATATTATAGCACAATGTCTCATGCGCCTGCAATCTGCTAACCATGGGCATCCACTAAAGCTCTTTTGCAATATGCGCAAGCACAATAGATTTAAGAAACATGGTCAAAATGGATTTTAGAAATACTGTTGCATAAGCATATACTTACATACAATTGAATAAAGCTTGCAATTTATATCTCCAATGAGGCAAAAAACCTGTGTTGTTTGAATTTGAATTTGAATTGTGGTTCCGAGAATCGGAGGCACAAAAATTAATGTCCAACTAGTATATATGCAGTGTTCATACCTTGTGCCACCTAACTGCTAAACATCGTGTAAACATCCAGGTCTTCGTCATGAAGCCGCTGGTGTTGCTTTTGAAGCCCAAGCACCCAGCTAGGGGAGATCTCTTCCATATCCTCACCCAGCCACAACTGCCGCAAACTGTCTAACCCATCCACATGGCTTAAGTTTGGACAACCATTTACACGAAGCTCTGACACTTGAGGGAGATTAGAGAGTCTCTCAAGGCCTTCACATTTATTAATAATAAGGAGCTCAGAGAGCAGTGGGAGGTCATCCACAGCCTTCAAGTTGTTTGTTTCAATTAGTTCGAGGTGCTTTAATCCGGCAGTGTCCACTCCAAGCTGTAGCGGAAGAGCCCTCAACTTTGGGCAACCATCAAGTTTCAACTTCACCAAACGAGGCAGCAGTTGCATCCTTGCAGATGGGGCATCCTCTTTCTGAATCTCAGCAGTTCCATCCTCTCCCCTTTCATTAAGAGCAGCTTCTATTTCTTCTTCAAAAAAAGACCACTCCTCCCAGTTGGGCATATCCCTGATGATTAACCATTCAAGTTTAGGGAAAGCAACCAACTGACTGCATATGGAATGGGCCATTGTGCAACCAACGAATTCAGGTCCAACCTTGGTAACTGCATATGCTTCCTCAATCCTCAGATATTTCAAGTTGGGTAGCTGGCCAATCGGTGGAAGACTCACACATCGTAGATTTCTGAGGATCACATGTACTAGTGAAGGCAAACAGGTGCTACCAAACCAGATGGGATAGCGCCGACCAAAGAACCCAATAATATATAGGGTTTCCAAGTTGGCTGGAGGTATTAGCTGCTCAAACACCTTCTCAGTTTTTCCAATATCTTCTGAATATGATGTCCACTCTAGTACTAGTGCTTTTAGATGCTTTTTATCCATCAACATTGTATTTGTACTACAACAAGCTGCTCTTTCCAAGTTAACCAATGTAAGATACCTCAGCAGCGACGCGGATGACAACTCTTCCAACCTCCATCCATCTTGTACATCAGCATTATTACTTCCTTCTCCAACTGGAAATCCTCGCACATCAGTGAGGAACTTCAATTTTCCTATCCCTTTTGGAACCTGATTTATTTTTGTATCAAGAAGACTGAGACATCTTAAACTATACAACTGCGACATCGCTGAAGGAAGACTGTGCAGAACATCACAATAATTCAAACTCAAAATTTGAAGGTTCTTTAAGGAGCCGATAGATTCCGGAAGACAGGATATGCCAGTATAATCAAAATCAAGTAGCCGTAGATGTATCAGTTTTCCTATATGATGTGGAATGCTCTGTACAAGTGAGTAATTTAGTACCAAAACACGAAGAAGCAGAAACCTCTTGAACAATGTATCCTCAATGCTCCGGGGACCAAGAACAGTAAAGAACGTCCTCACCTTAGCTTCCACCTTGTTCATTCTAGGTAACACTAATTTATCTTTCTTACTCACAACAGTAACTCGTCGTAGTTTTGACATATTCACACCTCTTAATGTTTCAATATCTCCAATAAAACATTCTTCTTTTGATATGTTTAAAGCAAACTGTCTTAAGAGGTCATGCATTTTGCAAACAGCCTGGTCAAAAGATTTGTTATCAGGTTGGAGGAGATTTCGATGGATTAGCTCATAGTAGTACTCTTCTGCTGTATCTTCTAGTAGTTGCTCTTGTTGCTCCTCAACAAAGCCTTCGGCAATCCATAACCTGGTAATTACACGACGGAGAATGGCATAATCTTCAATATACAATGCACAATAAAGGAAGCACTGCTTCAAACGATACGATAACTCATTGTAGCTTAGATATAAAGCTCCCTCCATTCCATTAGAAAGCATGCTCTCGGAGCAAGCATATTTGCTCAAAATCTTTTTCCACTCATTTTCTGTTCGATCTCTGCTTGCCAAAACACTAGCAGTAACCTTGATTGCAAGAGGGAGGCAACCACATTTACGGACAATCTCAATCCCTATGTTTCTTAGATTCTGCACTTCTTTCTCTTCGTCAATATTGATGGTCTTCCAAAGTAGCTCCCATCCCACATCTACTGACATAAGATCAACTCAATGGATATGTTGCACACCTATTGTCATTGCAATTTGGACATCTCGTGTTGTTACCAATATTGCTCCAGCAGTTGTTGCATGTAATGGAGTTCTTAGTAAATCTGTCCATATATTGGACTGCCACACATCATCTAGAACGAGAAAGAAACTCTTGCCTTTAATTGTTTCTGCAAGCTTTCTCTGCAGTTCTCCAATGGTTTCACCTTCTTCGTGATAGACACCAATATTGCGGAGAACTTCTTTCAGAAGAGCAACTTCGTTGTAGTCTTGTGAAACACAAATCCATGCGTGTATATTGAAGCTTCCTCTTATTTTTTGGTCATTGTATATTTTCTGAGCTAGTGTTGTCTTACCGACTCCTCCGGTTCCAACAATCGCGAGTTTGTGAGATCTTTTTTCCTTGTTTGCAAGCACCAAGTCCACCAACTTCCTGCTAGAATGTATGATTTCCTTTCCCACAAGGTTGGGCTCAATAAGGTTGGAGCTTCTTATCAGTTTAGATGTTGAATCACTTCCAGTAGATTGTGTACCACTGTCAAATGTTAAGAATATGCTGTCCTTCAAAATTTTCTCTATCTTCTTGTTGAGGCTTCTAATCTGAACACCAACATCACGACGTGGACCGATGTTACAAAAGCAAGAGAAAACTGAATGGCCATTACATGCAGCTGATTTATTTGATGACCATGAAGGATGGTCAGGCAGTAGCTTGCTTCCTTTGCATCTAGCCACGTCCAGGATTTCATCAACATCATATATAACATCTCTCAGTTGGCCAAGCCAATTGCTTACTGCTAGCTCTTTTGCCCTCCTTTTCTCAGCGTCATATATACAACACTGAATTAGTTCAACTCGTTGCAACAGTTCTGCAAGCTCTTCTTCCACCCCTAAGATTAGTATGGCCTCGTTGGTAATGACATCTTGCAACTTACTGGCACATGATCGAACCAGAGCTTCTAGTATGGTCGCCATGGATGAGGCAAACTCAGCGCTAGAGATCCACCAAAGAACACCAGGATCAGGGTGACTTGTTTAATTTCGGAATGGCAAAAACCAAAGTCTAAAAATTAAACGGAGACAAGTCTCAAGTGAAGTTATATATCAACACAAAGGATGTGAGCAGATATAACTACTGAGTTGTTGTTAACCTTTTGAAAAATATTAGCATAATGAAGCTATGCAATGTATATACAGATATATAGTGCCCTGACTAGTTTCTTTTTTTTCCTGCTTCTGTCAGGTATGTTAAACTAATATACTGATTTTCTTTTCTCAGCTCAAGGATATTAAATGGCAGCAGCTGCATAGAAGCATATATACATAAAGAACCGCAGAAAAAATGTTGCATTGCGTTACAATATATATACAGATATTAATCATACAGCTATATATTTGTTTGTCTGATCCATTCTACCCTTGACTAGAAATGATGATAATTTATTCCATGGTAGTAATATATATGAGAGTCGATAGCAAGTCTTTACCTTACAAACAACTTCCAGCAAGGGAAAAACAGTCAATAATAATAATTATCAACAGTGATCATCTGGAAGACACGGTATGCCCCGATGGTCAGCCAATTTATACTTTCAAGATCTGGCAGGGCTGAGCGCAAGCTAGAAGAAAAACAGAGAATAGAAGATCATCGGAGCACTCCACTGGCCCATATGAATCGGTGGTGATCAGCCGAGTAAACCGATCAGTGTTCTGCAAGGAAACCAACAGGTTAGGAAGGAATAACAGGAGAAGAATGGGACGAACAGAATCCACAAGTTTCCTGATGCCTTACCAGATCCAATTAATAGCTGATAGAGCTCCCCTCTGCTTGCGTAAAAAACTGCGGGGTAGATAGCAGAGTCCAGGGAGACGAAGGATGCCATTAGCTGGGAAGGTGAGAAAGAGATTGGCGAGGTGCCCATTAATTAGCTGCTTTGCCCATTGGCTGCGTATTGTCAACACTCACTGCTTAATTAACTTGCAAGTAGCAACGCCAAATGAATAGATTAAGCTAATCTGCAAAGAGATTCCACAAGGACAAGGACCTGCCAGATCCAGTCTGCTTCCATTAGTAAATTAATTATACACATTTCATATATATGTTGACAGGGATTTTTTTTTCCTTTTTCCTTTCTCAACAGGAGTGTGAAATTAACAAGCTCAATCTCATGCCAGCAAGTAAGTTGCGTGCAATCACCAACACATCGACCATCAGTTTGGAAATAGCTGAGCTGACCGTGCCTACCGAGTCATTCAGCGTGTGTACATGTTCTGTATTGACAGAAACGGAATACGCTTTCAGTATTTATTTGTTGAAGCAAGAAGAACTAGGCAAGGGCCATGCAAAACAGTTAAAAGAACACTATGCCGACAGGGTCGTTCACTCAGATAACACGGGGAACAATGCATACATAACCTTATACAAAGGGATATACTCCTAGTTACATAAAGCCTGTCCAACGCATTACTAAAAGTAGCTATAATGATAACTTGGGTGAGTAAATAGCAAAAAACCACCCCCTTCAAAATTTTCGCCACTATCTATTGGTATTGGGGAAAATTTTAGCAAAAAACAGTGATAACACAGTTACCTCATGTTAATGATGTTCTGACTGGCAGGAGCCATCTGTGAGCGCTGACGCGGCACAAAAGCCAATACTGTTTGTGTTGACAGTTAAGTTGAACCAAGAGCCCACCCGTCAGAATCAACACTCCTCTCTGATAACCCCTCTCTCAGGTATTTCCTCGAACACCTTACTCGCAGCAACGGTGGTGTACCGAACGAGGTGGGTGCCGGAGCAGTGGTAGTGCGGGTGCAGGGGGTGCGGTGGGCGCCGGAGCTCGCAGTGGCGCGCGGTCAGCAAGGCAAAGGCGCGCCGGCGGCGACCCCCGGCCAGGCTCTTGGGTCTTGACGGCGGTGGTGACCGGGCACGAAGCCGGCGAAGGCGAGCACGATGCCAACCGCGCGGTGCAACCGTGAGCACGGCGGGACGCACGGTGCTCCACTGCAGTGCCAGTGTTACTGCACGGTGCTGCCAAAATCAGGCGTCAATTGCAATCCAACCGCTCTCCTTTCTCCCCGTCAATTCAGAATTAACCGAGGTCACTGCACAACGCACGCTAACTAGACCAGACCGGAGAGCGGAGAAAAAACTGGAAACTTGAACACATTTACAGCAGATCCTTCCCGCACTGACACAACTGACAAATTAACAACTAGCCTGTATGCCAGTATGCATCCATCACAAGACATCACGTTAATCTAAAGCAAACAAAGTTAAACTCCAATTGGATTAGCTTCAATCACAAGTTCTTAATATCTAACCCAAGCTGAAAGATATATAACTCTACTTGGGGCTCTGTCGTGAACAGCTAAACTTAGACACTGCATTAGCTAGCTGCTTAACTCTCTCGATCAACTTAATTAGGAGCCCACCACCCTCAGCTTAATCTGAATGTCATTGTTCCATCCCCGGCATTCAGATTAAGAAGCGTCTCCCAAATATCAAACCGTGTTTCTAGTAGACTCCAGAGTTCAAACTTTTGTGGGCAACAAGAACATTTTCTCGTTTGAACTTGCCTGGTTTGAAAGAGAAGGGTTCCTTGAGTTGTTAGCTCGGGAGTGGGCTAATGTCTCAGGAGGAAGGACGCCTATCGAGCGATGGCAATGCAAGATTCGTCATCTCCGAAGGTTCCTTCGTGGTTGGGCTAAGCACACGCATGGAATTTATAAGGCGGAGAAGGAGAGACTTCTTCTACTTATTCAAAACCTTGAAGTTAAAGCAGAAACTTCTATCTTGGATTCCAATGAGTTGGAAACAAAGATAGAGGCGGAGATGCAACTTAAAAAGCTTCTTCGCGAGGAGGAATTGAAGTGGGCGTTGCGAGCTAAGGTTCGCAAAATAGTAGAAGGCGAGGATAATACTCAATTCCTTCATATGATTGCTAATGGGAAGCATCGTAAAAAGAGAATTTTCCAACTAGAACAAGATGAAGGGACGATAGTTGGTCAAGACAATCTGGAAGTTTACATTACCAATTATTATAAGCAGTTGTTTGGTCCCCTGGAAGAGACTTTTGTGTCGTTAGATGAGTCTAGGGTTGAGGATGTGCCTCAACTTGAGACTGCCGAGAATGAGCTCCTGACTGCTCCTTTCTCGGAGAAAGAGGTGTTTGAGGCCATTGCACAAATGGAGAATAATAAGGCTCCAGGACCGGATGGGTTTCCGGCGGAGTTCTACAAAAAGTGCTGGCATTTTATCAAGGGAGATTTGATGCCCATGTTTCAGGAGTTTTTTGAGGGGCAGCTTCAGTTGTTTAAGCTGGATTCTGGGACGATAACTCTTCTTCCTAAGAAGACAGAGGCTGTTCGCATTGAGCAGTTCAGACCTATATGGCTGCTTAATGTGAGTTTTAAAATCTTCACCAAGGTCGGGACGAACAGACTTACGCAGATTGCGCACTCAGTAGTTCAGCCGTCCCAGACTGCTTTCATGCCTGATAGAAACATCCTTGAAGGGGTTGTTGTCTTGCATGAAACGCTTCATGAGATCCACTCCAAAAAACTTGATGGCGTAGTTTTTAAAGTGGATTTTGAAAAAGCATATGATAAAGTTAAATGGCCTTTCCTTCAACAAGCTTTGCGTATGAAAGGTTTTGATCCGCCCTGGAGAAACCAGATTGATTCCTTTACGCAAAAAAGGAGTGTCTGGATTAAGGTGAATGATGACGTAGGACACTATTTCCAAACACACAAGGGGCTAAGGCAAGGAGACCCTATGTCACCGATCCTGTTTAACATAGTGGCTGATATGCTGACTATTTTAATAGGTCGGGCAAAGGATGCAGGGCAGGTAGGTGGCCTGATTTCACATCTAGTTGACGGCGGCATTTCCATTCTTCAGTATGCTGATGATACTATCATCTTTATGGAGCACGACTTGGCGAAAGCAAGAAACATGAAGCTGCTGTTATGCTTATTTGAACAATTGTCTGGGCTCAAAATCAACTTCCATAAGAGCGAATTGTTTTGCTTTATAAGAGCAAATGATGACCGGGAGACATATCAACAATTGTTCGGATGTGAATTGGGCTCATTACCGTTTACGTACTTAGGTATACCCATTCATCATTGTTCGATAATAACGAGATAAAAGAGACACGAGAGCACACAGATTTTTACGTGAAAACCCTTGCGGGAGAAAACTACGGACACACGAAGGCGCGATCACTATGAGGAGGAGTATTACAAGCACGAGACGACAGACCATCTGAGGTGCGACTACATGGGGTATATATGAGGGGCAACACATAGGAGTCCTTGTAGGACAAGTAAACGAGTTGTACTCGTACGCGTCGGTACCAACGCAAAAGGCCCACACCGTATGTACTATGTCTAGTCCAATACGGTACTAGAATTTGGATCACAATTTAACAATCTCCACCTTGAGCCAAATTCCTTCCAGTAGTCGAAGAAAGTGAATAACTCCATCCAAAACAGCTTAAACACCTTGTGCGTCAAAGTCCATAGGACTAGTGAGAAATACCAACTAAGCCTGAGCAAAGCTCAAACTTATTGGTCGGAACTGGCTTTGTCATCATATCAGCAGGATTATCATGAGTACTTATCTTGCATACCTTCAAATCACCTTCAGCAACAACATCTCGAATATAGTGATATCTGACATCAATGTGCTTTGTTCTCTCATGATACATTGGATTCTTTGTAAGATATATAGCACTTTGACTGTCACTAAATACGGTAGGGCAAGATGAGTCTCCACAAAGCTCAGTGTACAAACCTCTCAACCAGATAGCTTCTTTGCATGCCTCAGAAATAGCCATATACTCGGCATCAGTAGTGGAAAAAGCCACAATAGACTGCAAAGTTGCTCTCCAACTCACAGCACAACTACCAATGGTGAAAACATAACCTGTGAGTGATCTTCTCTTATCCAAATCACCAGCAAAATCAG